CGATCGCGCTATTTCTATTTCACGGTCGCCTCCGCAAAGTGTGCGTGTGCGCGACATTAGTGTCGAAGCCTGGAACTGCATTGCAGCTACCATAAAATCCAAGTCGGCCTGGCCCCCTATTGAGGAGATCTTTCGCCGCGAAGAAAGAAGACCTCACAACACCTTCACTGTCGCTCTAACTGTGTTCGTGAACTCTCAAGCGGCCACTGACTTTTGCGACTCAGTTTTCGACCAATCCCTCATTATTCAACTTCCCACCCAGGAAAACAGGAACTCATCTCCTGCGGAGGTTTCACGACGGGCCGGTTATCGAGTCGATAACTATCGAGACGACAATTATCGCGATGCACACCACCGAGAGACCCGTCAACGTGGCACACATCGCGAGTACAAGCTCTGGGCTAGCGTCGTACCTCTCGCTCCTGCCGAACCGATACCTCTGAGTCGGGTTCTGCAACACCCGGGTTTCGCAACCATCCAGTGGGAGTCGGCGAATATTGGCTCGCTCGTCAATCTCCGGAAATCAGAACTGTCTCAAAAATCGAGGGACCACTCGTGGATCACAGCACGGCCTGTTGCTATTCCTCTGTCCGGCTCCGACCGCACGGCTATTGCTCTTTGTAGTGGGCCTTGGTGGTGGAAATGCATCATGGTAACTTGAGCGGCGACAATCAATCACCCCGTCAAACCTCACTCACCTGTCCAACCCACATTCCCTCTCGAGCCCACCAACCTTTCGTTGTGTGTGCACACACATTTGTGTCTAAAATTTTGTGTGATAGTGTGATGAAACGCATGCTTTGAAGGACAGTTCGCGGCCCTGTAGTTCGTGTAACGTTCGCCGGTTGGTGTTCAGTAGATTAGAATTACATCCACAGTCTTCCATCCCCCAGGAATTAGCGGGATTGGTGTATGTGAGATGTCCTAGTTTGCGGGATTTTGATCTGAGTTCGGACTACGATTTTGGCGTACGTTATTGCTACAAGCAACCGGACCTGCTGTTATTGAAGGACGAGCGGGAGTCGTTGATTTTCTTCACGAAGAGAGGATTGTTGTATAGTCTGGATTTATGCACGTACAACTTGCAATTGATTCGAGTGTTGATGATAGAGCACGCATCCTCGAGGCCGTCTGTTTCCGAACGGGTCACATCGGAGAGGATGTTGTCAGACAAATCTATCTTGGAAAGGACCTTAGAGACATCTGGCTTGGTTGTGGGTGTGCCCGAAACTGTCAAGTACGAAACCGAGGCGAAAGTGAAAGCGGAAAATGCCAACCTTGTCGCCAGTGTCTTGGCCCAGGCACAGCAAGCCGCACGGGCCGCTAAGGCGCTCAAGGAGACGCAGAGCTCACCCCCCGCTAAGGTTTCCCGCAGACAACTCTCAGTCCTCGGCTTCGATATCCCCTCAACCGACAACGATACGAACCGACAGAAGGGACCCCGAACCCTAGTCAAAGGACGCCTATCCCAACCCAAAGGCGTATCGGAACTAGTCAAGGCCGCGGAGGACACAGCCCTCCTCGAGGACGAAGCTTCACTCATCTGCTTCATCTGCCTTCGACAGTTCACAACCAATAACGAACTCCAACGACACATTCTCAACAGCATGCTCCACCGACATTTGGAACGGCTAGGAGGCACTCAACCAGCTGGCACGCATCCATAGTTCTTTCCCCATAGTTCTTCCTCCATAGTTCTGCCCCCCTTCCCCCGGTCCCCCACGAATGGTATGGAACGTTAGGCTAGCCACCGGTTAATGGTTTGGTCACGCATGGTGCAGGAACATGGACAAGTATGCGAAAAATGGAACTGACATTCCCGTGGGTCTTCTGCCGGTTCTGGTGGAGCGTATGGCTCAGCTGGATGACCTGAAGACTCTTGAGAACAATACCTTGGAGTTATGGCGAGCTCTGGCGCGTTACGAGATCCAGAAGGAGGCTGAATTGCGTGAGTGGCGTGGAGCCGAACAACGTCGGTTTGAATCCCTGCGGCAGCAAAACGAGCAATTACGTCAACAGCTGGTGGTCAAGGAGGCCACCACCGCCGTCCTGGCCAAGCCTCAGTGCAGATGTCCGTGCTGCTACTACGACTGGTAAAGCCGTTAGATTGTGGTAAGGGAGAACAGAAAAGGAGATACGGGCGAAGGTAACCCACCCATAGTAACCCCCGATAACCCATCGTAGGGTACCTGTTGTGGGCCTGTTGTGTATCACATCCTATGGATCATATTCTATGGATCATATTCTATGGATCATATTCTATGGTTCGCGTCTTACGTGTGCGTAGGTGTATTTTTATCAGGGACCATTTTTGACTGGGCACGAGTTCATGAACACAAGCCGTAATTTGGAGTCGAGTCTGACAAGCCGGCTTGGTCTGGGGGACAAGAAAAGGGGTGCTCAGTTTTACCGCAAGTACTGCGGGCTATGTTATGTCATATTGTGCAAGAGGTTCGAGTACGTCTTCACACACTTGCATGACCCAGAGTTCCCGTCTCTGGCGAATCTACAGAAGCAGTACGGTGGGTTGAAATCCCTCGAGGACGGGCCGGACTGGGCGTGGTGCAAGCGGTGTTATGAGGAATTGAATGAAGCGGATTTTGATGAGGTGTCTCAAGACTCGGCAACAAACGTAGCCGGGTCGGAGCAGAGCAGCGCTGCCAGCAACGGGGACCCGGAGGAGGTTGTTGCAGCCGATGGTCGTGGAGACCGACATGGAGATGATCAACATGGAGATGATCAACATGGAGATGAACGAAACAGACGTGAAGACAGCGACGAGAAAGCAATGGCAGCGACGTACATGGTGCCTATGTTCACATGGGACCAGAACCCAGTATTGGCAGGCATGTTTGACTGCCACGAGTTATTTTGTAGACGTCCGGCTTCATTGGAGGCGTTTCGCTTGGCGCTGTATTATAAAGGTATTGAGGCACGTGTGCGACTATGGCACAAATGCAACTACCACCGGCGATTGGCCCTGGCACGATGGAGCCGGCTGAGCGAGACGGAGCGAATTAGGGAGGTGGAAAAGCATACAGGTTTGCTACGAGTGTTGGAACCGGAACTTCCGATAGAATTGCGATCCGCTAAGGAACCGCTCCTGCCCCGAGAGTCGCTCCATGAGTACCTATTCTCTGTTGACTATGACCTACATAAAACGTGCGATATTCACCGTGCAGGCTTCCTCGTCATGGGCACTATGACCAGTACCGCCTGTCTCGGCGACTTCTACCAGGCGCCTCGGCTCGCCCTCCTCGCCTACAAGTTCCACGTTAACCGCTGCGTTGTCGTCCTCCAACCCGAAGTCTTCCACCGCCATAATGTCCTCCCCAGTAAGTCCACTTCTCTTCGCACACGTGTGTGCATGTCACGCACACGTGTGTGCATATCACGCACACGTGTGTCCATACCACGCACACGTGTGTCCATATCACGCACACGTGTGTCCATATCACGCACACGTGTGTCCATATCACGCACACGTGTGTCCATATCACGCACACGTGTGTGTACTACTCCCGTCTACGCTCTCTCCTCACAGTGGCCCGGGTATGTGGCGAGGAAGCCACTGACTACGCGTCCCTCAGTCGCGAAGAATACCCTTGGCCGCGTCTGCCTTCAGTTCGGCGAGTAGACCTGAAGCGATGCCGCGCAGGTAAATACGTGTTCAAGTTGAATTCGGACTACCGGCAGTGCATCGAACGATGCTACATGTCGCACCAGCCGTCCTGGATACATGAGGGCGTTTACCAACTGTTCAGCTACTGGCACCTACTTTCACACCCGTCCAGACGGCAGGCCGGATCGACAGACCGAGTGCAAATGATCAGTGTCGAAGTCTGGAAGGAAACAAGCGGGGATGCCCCATCCGGGGATGTCCTCGTCACCTCGTCGGGTGAAGAAATGGTCGCAGGCGAAATAGGAGTTCTTTCGGGTCGGTCGTATACGAGTTTAACGGGGTTCACGAGAGTGAAAAACACGGGCAAGATTCAGTTGCTGGCTCTGCATGCTTTTCTCGTGAAGCACGGCTTCATGGTATGGGACCTAGGCATGCATCTCGATTACAAAACGGACTTGGGGGCGGATCTCATAATGGGCGACGACTGGATGCGGATTATGGAGGAAGCCTCCAACCCCAGGACAGACCACCCGTCGGACAACGCTGCTGAAAGGGAGGATAACGTGCCCTGGTTCTTTAAGTGTCTATGTGAAGATCTTCTGCAACCTTACAGGTGAGCCGAGGCGGGCTGGGTGTGAGCCGAGGCGGGCTGGGTGTGAGCCGAGGCGGGCTGGGTGTGAGCCGAGGCGGAGGGGTGGAGTATGCATGTTGGGTAAAAGATGAAGGGCAGGGAGCTTTTGAATAAAATATTGTTTGTATGCATCACCGTAGGAGCGATCGGGGCGTGTACAGTGACACCCATGATCGAGCGGATGTGTTGAGCGACGAGGAGGAGGAAGATGACTCTGTGAAATTTGTGGCTGATGGAAGGCGTGGATGGAAGGTATCATCATTAACGGTTTCCTTTGTGAAGTTGCCTTGGGTTGCATTGAAGGTGTATGCCCAGGTGTGTGCACAGTCGTTTCGCTGGTGGTTGGCTGCCTGGCAAGTGTTGCAGATTTTCGTATGTATTTCGAAGTTGTTTGTGATCCACTTCGTTTGCAGACAAGCTATTATTCGGCCCTTTTCCCATGTAGGTCGATTATTTAGCGCATCAGGACGAGCAAAGATCAGTCTCCAGACGCAGATGCAGAAGTGCCAGGAGTACTCGGAGTGGAAGAAGTTGTCCCAGGAGATGGATAACCTCTCGAATATCGAACAGTGGGCCGCGGATGAAGCCTCAGACGTCGTGGATTTCCGCGCTCTCAGGAAGCACACGCGTGCGCTACGACGCGCAAGAATCCAAAACGATGCGCCCGAGCTCGCCTTCCTCCTCCGCGTGTGCTGCCACCGCAACTTTTGCGGTCTAAGGAACCCTATGCTCTACGCCCACTCCTTTGTTACCACAAAAAATGTCGTCGAAGCGTTCTATGCCGAAGTGCTCGTCAGTCTCGAGTACTTGGACCACTCCGTCAATTCGCAAACAGACTCCGCCGGCGACTTGACCGCCCGTAGTCTAGACGGACGCCTGGACAGCCAGACACTGCGGCAGGAAGCGCGCAACGAGACGGACTCCGCAATGGTCAATGACCCTATGACAACCGACCCGACGGCTAATCACCCCATGATTAATCACTCCGCAATGGTCAATGACTCCGCAATGGTCAATGACTCCGCAATGGTCAATGACTCCGCAATGGTCAATGACTCCTTCAAGTCTCCTACAGATACTGACCCTGCAGGAACGGCTGCTGGAGTGCAAGACAAGTCGCAAGGGAGCAGTCCAGGGAGTAGTTCTAATTCGAGCATTTCACCGGGACGCGGATTAAAGACGCGTGGTAAGTTGTTGCGAGAGGACTCGGAAAAGATGGCATGGGGTCTAAGGCAGTACGATTCGTTGAATTTCGGTAGTGCTGCAATGTATACACGGCATGCGACACCTAACTTGGAGCAAGCGGAAGATTCTCGGCCTCGACGCAGAGCAGCTGCGCCTCGGTATCAGTCAGGATGTCCGTCCCCGACATCAGGTTTTGACCGAGAGTCGTACTTGAATTTGTTGTCAGATTTGCGGCTAGCGATGGGTCGTACGGCCTTGTGCTTGTCGGGTGGCGGTGGGCTGACTATTTATCATGGCGGTGTAGTGAAGACGTTAATTGAGCAGGGGTTGATGCCTCGAGTGATTAGTGGTACTTCAGGAGGGAGTATAATGGCGGCGATTTTGGCGACCCGGTCGAATGAGGAGGTATTCGAGATGATCAACACAGGCGCCTTTCTCTCGGGCGAGTTGGCGCCTACCTTTTGGCAACAGGTGCGTAATCTGTTTACCGTCGGCACGTTGATCCAACATGAGGCCTTTTGCGAATCCGCACGAAGTCTCGTGGGCAACTTGACGTTCGCTGAGGCTTTCAGTAAGACCGGCCGCTTCGTGTCCATTACTACTACCCGAGCCGGCCGTCATGCTTCCGGAGACCCGCTGGTTTGCAACGTCATCAACACACCCACCGTTTTAGTCTGGTCCGCGATGGTCGCCTCTTGCTCCCTCCCGCTCGTTCTCCCTCCGACGCGTCTCATCGCTAAAGAAGAGCCCGGTCGCCGCCGCCTCTCCCACAGACGACTCCCGCCTCTTCGCAGACCTCCTGCACGTGAGTCTGACCCAGAACTCAAGCCTGTAGCCTCGAGAGACGCCTCCGTCGACCCCGCCCCACGCCTCGCGCACACCGGCCCGGATTTGAACCGCCGACCCAACAGTGACGTCGAGGACGCCCCGCTCCACACAACCAGCGCTTACGACTCCAGTGCCGTCTGCAGCGACCCCGAAGACCAAGCCCAACCGCTCGCCGGCTCCGTTGCCCCTCTGCCAGATGATCCAACCCTCGATGCGGACCTGCACGCGATGTTGGCGGGCCCCTCCGAAAACGACACCTTGGCAGACGGGACCTCCGGCGGTGTCTTCGCTCAAGACGTAGGCACGCTTCTCAGTGTGCCCGGGCGCGCAGGAAAGATGCCCGCCATCGGAGCTGTCTTGGGCGCGGCGCTGAAAAGCGAGAAGGTGCCGCTCCATCTCAATGTCAAGCCAGGAGCTGGTGCGAACTCCAAGCCGGGAGCGGTGCACAGTGGCGGTGACCCTGCCGTTCTAGGCGGTAAGTCGGTCGCCGGTCGGACCCGAATCGGCGAGCTGCCGGCACCGAAAACGCGCGTGAAGAGGCGTCGATCGGGCGTGAATTACCGGCCGGGTACGCGTCCGTATGCACCCGGCGATATGAAGTTCGTAGACGGCAGCATTTTGCAAGACATTCCCGTCACAGAGCTGCAGACGAGTTTCAACGTTAAGAGCTTCCTCGTTTCTCAAGTCAATCCGCACTTTACGCCCTTTATCCAGGACGCCGGCGCCTACAAAGAGAAGGAAAAGTGGTTCGTTACTCTGGTCGATAAGCTATGGAACTACGTCACACTCGACCTGCGCAACCGCTACTCCAGACTGCTCATACTCTCCATCATGCCGCCCATCAAAGGTCAGGATGTCTCACCCTTCCTCATGCAGTCCGCCGAAGGCCACTGTACCATCGTACCGTGCAACCCGAGCGACTTTTACCGACTCACAACTAACCCCGACCTGCACGACTTGCAAACTGCGGTCGCATGTGGCCAAAGGAAGACGTGGCTCTACGTCAAAAGGCTCGAACACATGACTTGCGTATGCTTCCCCACCCTCCTGACCCTGCCTG